ATCATGGAAGACATCCGACGACTTTCAGAGGAACTCAAAGAGAAAGATTCCCTGCTGACTGGCTTTATGGATGTAGCTTCAGTACAAGCCAAACAGATTGTTTCTCTTAGCGCAACCGCTAACATCCAGGACACCGTGTTTTGGGACCCCTCTAGTCTTCCCAGGCTTTCATCCTGCTCGACTCAGAAGCATCAGTCAACCTGGGCTGAAGTGGTGGTCCGTGGCTGCAAGAGAGGCTCGGATGGGGCTGCCTCTCCTCCGCACATCAGCCTCTCCAACCGCTATGCAGCCCTGTCTAACGACACTCCGGTCCATCCAGCTGATGCACCTGCGGCTTCGAGTCTCCCTGATTCGGATCTCTTTCGGCGCACAGTGCCTGCCGACACTGTTGCATCTCCTTCACCGGCTACATCTCCCGCGATAGGACCGCCGGTCTGCCGCCGGACCTGATCGGCAGCCGTCATCCCGGTCAAAAACCTCCGCTTCCCGACGTAGGATCCTGAAGGAGGCTGTGCTCAGACAGAGAGTCACACAAGAGTGATAGTCCATGTAGCTCTCTTCGCGACAACACAGACACAGGTCAGTTCTTTGCAACGGGCGTTTATTGCTGTGGGCACATCGGGTCTCTTTGGTACATCCAGCTTCACACCATGTACGCCTTGAACGTCGTATATGCCTTATACGCCGTGAGAACTACATTGTAAGTGAACACAGTACAAATAAATCAATACATTATAGCTTAGCAGAGAAAATACAAACAACATCCAGATCAATAAAGACAATATAATAATACCTCGTTGGCCGCTTGTCGTGAAAAGAGGTTACTAAGTTCTTTGAAGTCTCTTGAATGTCCATTTGGTCGTCTGTATTAACTTCAAACCACATTTTTAACTTTTATGCAGTTTAACAAGCATCGGAGCTATCTGCTCCGCCGGAATTCAAGGCAGTGAGTGTCGACTTAAACCGTTGTAGCGGTAACACAGACAGAAAACATTAGTTCCGGGACAAACGTAAATATACAGAATGAGATAGATACACTGTTAACCACATATCATTTAGCAGCTTATTCTACCCTTTAGTTCTTAAACATGTATTACATTTTATCTTTACACCAAATTAAGTTATATTTGTTACATGAAATTATAACAGCAATTATGAACTGCGCATCATGAAAACACAAGTATTTATGCAACAACACTTACACTCCCACCAAATCCCTAATTAACTTGAAATGTAGGATTTCTATACGTGGAAGGTCAATTAAAGGTGTTGTAAGACTGAATGAATGTAATCTTGTGTATGTGACTCAGTTAGATTCAAGTAAGGTAACTACTTGTGAATGGGCCTTTCGAGGTAGATTCTTTTAGTTAGTGGCTGTCCTTTATCAGTAGTGTCTCCGACTAGTAGCTTCAACTTCCGCACCATACTGTCTGCACTAGGGTGAACTTCTACGACCCTGGCAAGCTTCCATTCGTTTCTTGGAGAGCTGTCATCTTGTAGAATCACAATGTCATCCACTTGTGAATTCCGTGTTGTTCTTTGCCATTTCTGTCGTTGTTGAAGGTTTAGCAAGTATTCCCGCTTCCATCTTTGCCAGAATTCATCAGCTAAGAACTGCACTCTTCTCCAACGTTTGCGCAAATAGAGATCTTCTTTGCAAAACTGCCCGGGAGGGGGCAGAATAACTGATGATTTCATCGTTAGAATATGGTTGGGTGTGAGAGGTTCTGGTCCATTGGGATCATGAAGATGTTCAACACTTAACGGTCTGCTGTTGATTATAGCCATTGTTTCGTAGAGAAACGTTCTCAGCGATGTGGTGTCAAGTCTGCTTGCGGATTTGTCGAGCATAACGGTTAAGATGCTTCGGATAGTTCGAATTTGACGCTCCCAAACTCCACCCATATGACTTGCTGATGGGACGTTCGTTACAAATTCGCAACCGAATGCTCGTTGACGTTCTTGGTCAATTCCTTTAAGCAATTCAGAAAACAGTCTCCTGGCACCCATGAAATTTGTTCCCTGATCGCATCTCAATTGACGCACAGGTCCTCTAATAGCTACAAATGTTCGAAGCGCGTTCATGAAAGCGTCTGTTGTTAAGTCGTCTAGTGTTTCTATATGTACTGCTCTGGAGCATAAGCAAGTAAACAACAATCCATAGCGTTTCAACTCTTTCCTTCCTTCCTTTACGATGAAGGGGCCAAAGCAATCGAGTCCGCAATAGGTAAAAGGAGGGGACATTTCTGTTCTCTCTTCCGGGAGATCTGCCATTTTTTGGACTTCTGTGGCTCTTCTGTATCTCCTGCAAGTTACGCATTTATAAATGTGTGAGGAGACAGCACTTCCGCAACCAAGAATCCATATTCCATTTGCGCGCAGCTCGTTCATGGTCATGCCTCTTCCTTGGTGATGTACACGCTCGTGATAGTGTTTGACTAGAAGGGCTGACACATGAGATTTCTTCGGAAGTATTGCCGGATGTTTTACGTCATGGTGTAAGGCTGATCGAGATAATCGTCCTCCCACTCTGAGAACATTGTCCTTATCCAAGAAGGCATTCAGCTGGCGTAACTTGTTACGCTTGTTCAGGGTGTTTTCTTTCTGGAGCTTGATTTTCTGAATGTCTTCAGCAAAAGCTTCTTCTTGCACCAGCTTGATAATAAAGATTTCGGCTTCTCTTCTTTCTTCAAGGCTAGTTGCTTCCTTTGTTCTTGGCTGATGTCCTTTGAATTCTCTGATGAATCTCTTTAGCCTAGCAGCCGCTCTCACTGCTCTGGACCAGTCCGAAAACTTTGTAAAGCGCTTCACCAGTGAATTCACCTCTTTCATCTTGACTGCATGAACATGGGCTTTGCGAAGCTCAGGATCGGTCATTTCAACTTCTCCCACCATTTCCTCTTTACATGGAAGATTCTGCTGCCAAAGAAAGTCAGGTCCTTTCAGCCAGTTCGACTCCTTCAACTGAACCGAAGTCAGTCCTCTTGAGGCATGGTCGGCTGGATTATTTCCAGAGCTGACATGTCGCCATTGTTCAGGATTCGTGCTAGCTCTTATACGTTGGATCCGATTGGCTACGAATGTGTGGAACCTCTTTGCATCATTGTTCACATAGCCAAGAACCACCTTCGAATCAGTCCAGTAATACTCTTCTAAGTTCTCAATCTCAAGCTCCCTTTTTACAACATCGCCGTTGCGCACTGAAGTCACAGCTGATGACAATTCAAGTCTCGGGATGGTCGTTAGCTTGGTAGGGGCTACTCTTGCCTTCCCCATGACAAGTGAACAACTGATCTGTCCTGTTTCACTTATTGCTCGGAGATAAGAACATGCACCGTATCCATTGAGACTTGCATCTGAAAAGTTGTGTAACTCATAACGCATGACTGAGTCAAAATGTGATGGAAGGTAACTTCTTGGAACATTCAGTGCTGCCAGGTGTGGCAAATCCTTAAGCCATAACTCCCATCTTGGCAGAATGTGTTCGGGAAGATCTTCATCCCAGCCTACCTTTTCTCTACATAGCTCTTGCAGGATCTGTTTGCCGACTAATATAAAGGGGGCTACAAACCCTAACGGATCGTAGACAGAGGCGACTGTAGAGAGAACTCCTCTTCTTGTCAGTGGGCTCTCTTTAACCACGACTCTGAATTTGAATTCATCAGTTTCGATGCACCACTGAACTCCAAGTGCTCGCTCGATGTGAAATTCTCCTAAGGCCATATCTTGATCTTTGGTCTGTGCACGTTCTTCTGGTGGTATTGCGGCGGTTACTTCCTTTTCATTGGACACAAACTTGTGCAGCCGAAGATTTCCTGTTCTGCACAAGGCTCTAGACTCTTCCACCAGATGAATGGCTTCATCGATTGTTTTTACGCTTATTAAGCCATCGTCAACATAGAAGCTTCTTTGGATGAACTTGATGGACTCCTCGCTGAACATCCATGACCCTGAGATGCCAGATGTTTGAGTCCAAAGTTGGAGCAGCCAGGGGACGATGCTGCTCCAAACAAGTGCACTTTCATTCTGTACACTGAGGGTTTCGAGTCCAGATCGCCTTTGTCCCACCAGAGGAATCTTAAGTAGTCTTGGTGTTCCTTTGCGACATGAAATTGATGAAACATTCTTTCAATGTCGCACATAATGGCTATTGGACCCTTTCTAAATCGAAATAGTACTCCGACTAATGTGTTGGTCAGATCTGGCCCGGTCAGAAGATGATCATTTAGAGAGGTTTCTTGGAAACGTGCTGAACAGTCGAAAACAACACGGATCTTCCCAGGTTTGTGGGGGTGATAGACTCCATGGTGCGGAATGTACCACACTGATTGATTATCGAGTTCATTCCATGGGACCTTCTCAGCATCTCCTAGAGTTATTATGTCTTCATGAAACGGACATAATCCTTGTTATACTGCTCATTTTTTCTCAACTTTCGCTCTAAAGAGGCGAGCCTTCGAACAGCACATTGCTTATTGTCTGGGAGATTAGGTTTGTCCGTCTTGAAAGGAAGTGGTAGTTCGTAGTGGCCGTCTTCCTTGTGCTTTATACCCTTCTCTACCTTGGACAAGAAAAGAAGGTCTTCCTGAGAAACGAGGTTGTCATCCGTAGTGTGATCTGCGAAATCGAATTCGAGAACCTTGATGATGTCTGTTGGACTAATCTCTTTGACCTTAGTTCTGCAGGCAAAGTGTACTTCTCTCTTTAACTCAACTGATTGATGCACTGCAGGCGTCACCTGTCGCACTATGATTCTATGACTGGTTCCTATTGCATCACTGCAGTCACTTTCTAGATTTGAGCAGCCGACTATGCTCCAGCCGAGATCAGTTCTCTGCGCGTATGGATGGTTCTCTTTGCCCGCCAGGATTTCCCTTGGTAGAAGAGCTTGCTGACAGTTATAACCAATCAATAGGCCTACTTCGCAGTCCAATGGTGGTGGAATCTTGTCTGCTAATTGTTCCAGATGAGGCCATTTTAGTGCTGTTTCAGAGGTTGGAATGTGCGATCTGTCGGCTGGGATAAACTCTCGTGTGAAAAGTGATGGTAATGGAATCCTTTTCTCTAAGTTGTATCCTCTCACTTGCAGGTTTGTTAGCTTTTGACAGGGTATGACTGTCGACCTTGTAGACATTGTGGATAGTCGCAAACTGACATTTTCTTTGTTTGTGTTGAGCTCCTGGGCCACTTCATCTAGAATAAAGGTTGTGTCGCTCTGTGTGTCTAGGAGCGCATAGACAAGAACTTCTTGATCTGGTCGTTTTGTGGATGAGATCCAGACAGGAACAATTGAAGAGGTTTGTGTGCTTACGCCGTCTTGTACGACTCTGTTTGTGGTTGCAGTTGCAGTCATCTCTTTGATGTTTGCCTTGTACTTTAAGTGTTCTTCTCCCTTTAGAGGTGATGACCTTTGACGTTCACTGACCTTGTCATCGTGCAAACATGTTGGATGTCTCCTCTGGCACCTTTCGCATGTGTTCTTGTTATCACATCTTCTCGAATGATGACCAGCCTTTAGACATCCAAAGCAAAGCTTCTCCACCTGTACAAACTTGACGCGCTCTTGAACTGTCTTTTCAAGGAACCTTCTACACTTGGCGAGAACATGCCCTGTTCTTTTGCAGAAACCACACGATGGAATGCTGCTCTCTGTTGTGTTTGTAGACAGTGTTTTAGCTTGTATGGGTTGGTTTCGTGGGTACCTTGGTTTCTCACTTTCCACATTCTTCAGCGCCTGTACCGAAGATATGGGATCACAAGCAAGATCTGCTTCCTTCGACAGAAATTCTACGAACTCTTTGAACGGTGGATACTCAGCTCTTGTTTGTCTGACTTCCATTGCCTTGCGATTCCATCTGGATACCAACCAGTCAGGCAATTTCAGTAGGATTTTTTGACTCTCATTGCAGTCGTTCAGAACTTCCAATGTTCTAATGTAGGGCATTGCTGTTTCACAGCTCCTAAGAAAGTCTGCAAATTCTCTTAGTTCAAACCCATCCTTAGAGCTTATTTTTGGCCATGCGTGCAGCTTGTTTCTGAAGGACTTCCCAATCACGAAAGGGTCTCCGAAACGCTTTTCCAGCAGCTGCCAGGCTGAGTCGTATGCTGATTCCGTTCCTAGTAGGACAAATCCTTCTACAGCTTTCTTTGCAGCGCCACCAAGGTACTTTCTAAGGTAGTACAGTTTTTCGTTCTTTGGAATGTTTTTCCTATTGATTAGCGCTTCAAAGGATAATTGCCAATCTTTGAATTTCAAAGGATCTCCAGTAATAATGAGGGCTCTGGAGTTGGAAGACGATTAGCACTTATAGCTTCTGCTAGAACGTTGACCAAATCAGAGCTGTTCTGCACTTGAGGTATGGGCACTAAAGTTGATGGGGCTTGAGATACCAGTTGAAGGCTTTGTGGACTATGAAGGGCTTGCATTGTAGCTGGAAGAGATTGAGGAATGAACGGGGTGTTTGAGGCAAGAAGAGTTTGTGATGCGACTGGTAGGGATGGAGGACTGAATGGGGGACTTGAGGCATTGAGAATTTGTGATGCGACTGGTAGAGATGGAGGAATGAATGGGGGACTTGAAGCATAGAGTGTTTGAGGTTCTCCTGCTAATGCAACAGTATGAGGCAAGTCAATCGCTTTGAAGTTTTCTTCGATTTGGTCGTAGACCTTTACTCGAGCTCTTGCGGCATTCAGTTTCTTCACTTCTTCAAGACGTTCGAGTTTTCTACGCTGCTCTTGCATCGCTTGCTGTCTAGCAAGGTTCTCAGACTCAAACTGTGCCAGTCGTTGCTTATCTTCAACCTCTAACCTTTGAAGTTCTGTCATTTCCTTTTCTTGTTCATCCAACACCGCTAAAACCTCCTGCGATGCAGCAGCTTCGGCAGCAGCCTCATGTTTTTTAAGCGAGTGGAAGCTAGAGTTGACAGAACCACATTGTGATTGATGTGACAGTGGTCTTGATGGAGAACATGTAGAGTTCAGGATCGATCCAACATCAGGCCAGGGATCTTCTGTTGTGATGCCTTTAAGATGCCTTTCTGCCTTTTGAATGATAAATCCTGACAGCGATATACATGTGTCTACTCTACGTCGCAGTTCTGCTTCAGGAGCTTGGACTCTACGTAATTCTTCGTAAACCATCTTTACATCAGAACACGTAGCTTTCATGTTCTCAATTAGCTCATACAATTCGTCTTCGGAGGCCTCATCATTCAGTATTTCTTTGCTTGTTCTTGCGTGATACCTCCACTTCTCATAGAGTATTCTATACCGACGTTGTATGCTCTTTAGCTTTTCTTCTTCGAATTCTTTTCCCTTTTCTGTTAGGGTTCGGGTTCTTTCGCTTCTTCGTAGCCTTTCTACATCTTCTGTAGCTCCAATGTCTATAGTTTCGGCTTGAGCAGATGATTTTCTATTCTCATGACAGGTCTCAGGACTTGAGTTTGACATTTTGGGCTGTGTGTAAGCTACAGTAGGCTAAGTGTGATTAACTAGGAAATTTTAGTAATTATTTGAATCTTAACAGATGTGTGAAGACAGTGAGCGAAGTCTAACTCTGAATACGTAAATGTTGTACCACAAACTGTGTCAGTATTTAAACTTGTTTAGACTTCAAGTTAGCTTAAACTAGGAATTAGTTTGGCAAAACACAAACCTTAATTAACATAAACCTTAATTGTGAATTAAATATGCTCAAAAGGCATCAAAACACTTGTTTTTACACTTGAAATTGAAAAAACATCAATGAAATTACTCTTTAAACTTAGCTTAAGTTATACTTTAACTTCTGTTACCTTTCAAAGTATAAATAAAGAAAATAAATTACAATGTACTTTCCTTTAACCTTACTGAAACGTGTTAATTTGCTTAAGGGGCTTGAACTTTCTTCCTTTTAGATTTGTTGCATGTAACAATCATGAATACCAGCACATTAGATATTTTCTTAAACACAGGCTAAACAGTATGCAAGGGTAATAGACTTAAATCCTTAACTGCAATTTCCAAGTTAAACCACTTCTCACACCACTTGACTTAAGATGGCTTTGGTAGAGCTCTTTCTGGCCTTTATACGGAAAGTCGCACCTTTTAACAAAGTCTTATAACATTTGCTTGTGGTAGCTATGTCGACAGTGTGTCCTGGGCTTTGCTTATCTTACATGCTGGATCTTCATCACGTCGTTACCCGCCGTAATCTCGTCTTCTCTCATACCCGCGCCGAGCAGGTCGAGTTCTCACTGTAGCTCTCTTCGCGACAACACAGACACAGGTCAGTTCTTTGCAACGGGCGTTTATTGCTGTGGGCACATCGGGTCTCTTTGGTACATCCAGCTTCACACCATGTACGCCTTGAACGTCGTATATGCCTTATACGCCGTGAGAACTACATTGTAAGTGAACACAGTACAAATAAATCAATACATTATAGCTTAGCAGAGAAAATACAAACAACATCCAGATCAATAAAGACAATATAATAATACCTCGTTGGCCGCTTGTCGTGAAAAGAGGTTACTAAGTTCTTTGAAGTCTCTTGAATGTCCATTTGGTCGTCTGTATTAACTTCAAACCACATTTTTAACTTTATGCAGTTTAACAAGCATCGGAGCTATCTGCTCCGCCGGAATTCAAGGCAGTGAGTGTCGACTTAAACCGTTGTAGCGGTAACACAGACAGAAAACATTAGTTCCGGGACAAACGTAAATATACAGAATGAGATAGATACACTGTTAACCACATATCATTTAGCAGCTTATTCTACCCTTTAGTTCTTAAACATGTATTACATTTTATCTTTACACCAAATTAAGTTATATTTGTTACATGAAATTATAACAGCAATTATGAACTGCGCATCATGAAAACACAAGTATTTATGCAACAACACTTACAGTCCATGTCGGAACAAATGACACAGCTCTTCAGCAGTCTGAGCTGACAAAATCAGATTTTAACCGTCTTTTTAACTTTTTAAAGCAGTGCGGAAAGTCCGTTTTTATCTCTGGTCCCATTCTCACAGTTGGTCGCGCTGCTGGCCGCTTCAGTAGACTCCTTGGCCTCCACGACTGGCTCCAGTCCGCCTGCAGGGCTTACCGTGTGTGTTATGTGGATAATTGTAATATTTTCTGTCCAGAACTCAGCTGCCAGGCTTTTAACCAGAACAAAGAAATATGACCACATTACTCCTATTTTAGCTTCATTACACTGGCTCCCAGTATGTTTTAGAATTGACTTTAAAATTTTATTGATCACTTTTAAAGCTCTTCATGGCCTCTCGCCTTGTTATATTTCTGACCTTTTAGTCCCATACACACCAGCACGTACCTTGAGATCCTCGGGCAGAGGTCTGTTGTCTGTTCCAGAGTCTCGACTGAAAACTAAAGAGGACAGAGCGTTTGCTGTCAGGGCCCCGAGGCTCTGGAACAGCTGAGTCAGTGAACTCTTTTAAGTCCCTTCTTAAAACATACTTTTATAGGAGAGCCTTTCCCGATCTTATTTGACTTTATTTTATCCCTTTTATTTTATTCTATTTTACTTATTTTATATTTATCTTAAACGTGTATTTTAGTCTTTTCTTTTCTTTATCTTGTATTGTTTTTGTATTATTGTTTTTTTTGGTATTATTGTCTTTACACTTGTTAAAGCACTTTGTAACTTATTTTTGAAAAGTGCTCTACAAATAAAGATAATTATTATTATTATTATTTCAGGGGTAGCGTATTCTGATAGACTAATATCCCCTATCAAATAATGCTCCCACCACAGAATCATTTTATATTGCACCACTACTCACTCCATGTGTAGGCTACTGTATGGAGATGGGGAGCATGTTGAAATACTAAATTATGCCATCTTTATTTAAGATATCAGGGGTAGCATATTCTGATATGACTAATAATGATTTTTTTTACTGACGATCAGCCACTTTCTCGACGGCATTCCCAACAGCAAGGTTGCACAGATTTATGGAAACAAACCACGCTTGTGGGTCATACACATGCGCAGAACCCCTAAGTAGCACATCTCGATAGGTAGCATAAATCGACAGAACACCGGACTTACATCTACATTGTATCACAGGGCTCTCAAGCCTCACGTAGTCACCGTGAGACACACGCATTTCAGCCAGTTCACACGCTACATCTCGTATTTGTCACGCTGAGAAGGTAAGTTATGAGATAACACCCTCAAAGTTGTCCCGCTACATTCCATTAATGGACGATAATTTTTGTGCCGAGTTTCCGGGTAAACTCCTGCAAGCACGTTCTTTACCAGGCAACATGGATGCGCGTGCACACACGGAGTGGAAGGACGAAATCTCTTGCCTGTGATCTATAGGCTATGATCAAAGATAGTGAGAGCAGCTGATTTTGGGGAGTATAGATAAATTCGTGTAAAATGATTATTGATGCAGTCAAAACCTCTCTAACCTCTTTGCGACCAGAAGCTTTGGCTTTTTTAGCCAGTGGTGAACAAAGTAACTTAGGCTTATTCAGATCGTTTAAAAAAAATAAAAGTACTAATAGCCTACCTCGCTGTAAAAATAGTAGGCTACTGCATTGAAAAAGTTAAGTAAAAGTATGCAAGTGGGCTATATGCACGAAAATGTAGAAGTAGGCTAGCCAATTAAAAATAAACGTAGCCTACTGAAAGCAGAAAGAAAAATGTCCCATATGACTGTAACTATTAGATTATAATATAATTAACTATATACTATAACTATAATTAGATTATTAATCCTCATGCATTAGTTGGTTGAGGTGCTACTACTTTGTATCAAACTACAATTAATGATCATTTTTATTATTTATTAATCAGCTGATTATTTTCTCCATTAATCGATTGTAATAAATTATGAAAATACTGTGAAATGTTGTCACAGTTATTCAGGGTTTTGTCAGTCCAAACCTCAAAATGATTGAAATACATTAAAATGATCAAAAGTAAGCAGCAAGTCTTCATATTTGTGAGGGTGGAACCATAAAATGTTTTTAAATGACAAATTACCAATACCAAACAGTTACCAATTCAGTTTCTGTCAATTAGCCTAACTGATAGTTCTACTAGCTGGACTTCTATATACTGTTAAGTAACTTAAAACATGCTATTTTTAAATTCTTCATACGTTTTGTGTGTAAAAAGCAAATTTTTCAAAGAAGCCTAACTAGTTACTAAAGCTGTCAGATAAAGTAAAGGTACAATATTTTCCTTTGAGATGTGGTGGATTAGAAGTTGAAAGTGGCATGAAAATAAAATACTCAAGTTCAGTACAAATACCTCTTGTACTTAAGTAGCTACAGTACTACTTTGTTAGTGTCCACCACTGGGCTTAGCTTTGGCTACCTGAAACTAAGGAAAGGACTAGAGATGTTTTACTATATTTTGGCTCTGGATGGAAAGCTATTATCCATCATGATGGTGAAAATGGCTGGCCTTGAGCCATAGTTCTTTATGTGGGAGCCCCCTATCCCTGTCAACAAGGCATTAAAATGTGCAACAAATACAACACAAAACCCCATTCATAACTTGAAATGTGTAGCCTACTTTCACACACAGCTTGGCACACCTGTAAGGCAAGCTCTGCAACCCTGCTGTAGGCATTATGTGTACAATATACATTGAGCACTGATGATCTTTTTATTTTTGATACAATTGCATTTTTGAAGTATTTTAAAACACTTTATCAGATTTACCTATTGTTATCATTTCTATTTGTTCGGGTCAATAACAAACTGGGCCGCTGCTGCAAATATTTAAATATAATAAAACACACGTTATCTCACCCCAAACCTTTGATCAAATTTGAAAGCCCTGGTATCACCTGAAGTTCAGTAATGTCTGTCCTGCAATGTAAGCCACCAAATGAACCGAACAACTAACATCATGTCAATCTAGCTAGCATGTTAAGCAAACTAGCATGCTGCCTGAGCAACAAAGTACACAAACAAATGCATACACGTGGTGCCTGCTGACACCATCAGCTAACCACGTGCTAGCTAGCAA